GAAGAGCGCCGACCGCCGGAAGCGCGAGAAATACCTTTTGGTGTTCAAAGGGAAGCGCTATACGTATGGCATCGGCTCCGAGACGCGAAACGCGCTCCACTTCCTGCACAACGGCAATGACGTCATTGTCCTCACGACGTGTCGTCACGGGAAGAAGTGGCGCGACCTCAAGGACGACAAGTGCGAGACGGACGACGCGCTGTACGACAGGTACGACAGAGTGTCGTCCTCTTCGTTGTCCTAACCGTCATCTCTCTCCTTAGTCACGACTACCAGCAGCTGATGGCGAACGCGACGTTCTGTTTGGTTCCGCGCGGACGCCGTCTCGGGTCCTACCGCTTCCTCGAGGCGCTCCAATTCGGCTGCATTCCCGTCGTGTTGGCCAACCAATGGCTGCTCCCGTTCCACGAACTGCTCGATTGGACGCAATGCGCAGTCGTCGCCGACGAACGCCTTTTACTCCAAACGACGGAAACCTTGCGTCAAATCTCGCGCCAAAAGATCGCCGAAATGCGCGCCAAATGTCTCGCTCTCTACGAGACGTACTTCTCTTCCGTCGAACGCATAGTTCTGACGTCACTTCTGGTCATTGAACAGCGCCTGAGACCGCATCTCGCGCTCCAACACTTCGTGTGGAACCTCCGCGCGCCCCCATTGGCCGCCGTCGTCACCCAATCACAGCTCGGCGTTCGCGACCCGCGACTCAACGCTCTTCTGATGGCCGAAGAGGTCAATGACCGCGCCTTCACTGCCGTCGTCCACGTGACCACAGCCTCTGACGTCACTCCCAATCTGCAGCGTCTCATTGGTCGCGCGCTTCGGGGCTCGCGATTCGCGGCGGAAGCGGTCGTCGTTTGGCCGCAAAGTCTCGCACTACCGGCGCATCTCGTGGAGACGCCATTCGTGCGCGTCCTGCGCTCCAACGCGTCCGCGCGCTTCCGATTGGTCGACTCGACGACCTTGAAGACCGATTGCGTCCTTCAATTGTCGCCGCATTCTCTGCTCTCCGCCAAAGAGGTCTCAAAACACCCGAAATTCCAACTCTTCTCACACCTCTCTCTCTTTAGTTCGACTTCGGCTTCTCCGTGTGGACGGCTTTCCCGCGCCGAGTCGTCGGCTTCTCGTCGCGCGACCACTTCTTCGACGACCAGAAGCGCCAATTCGAGTACTC